TTGTTTGGCGGGCCGGGCTGGGGATTCGAACCCACCACCTTAGGTGTATGTGGCTGGTGCCTTAGCCGCTTGAGCCACAGGCGCTGAGCCAATTTCTGAGTTCTTGACCATCATCCCTTTATTAAATATTTGTGTCTTTGGCATAATCAGAGATTTGGGTTTTGGTTGAGTAAGGCAAGGTTATAATTTGTATAGGGTCTGCTTGCCCTTTTATAACAGTTCTATTGGGGTTTCCTGTTTGTGCAAGTGTATGCTGGTTATGTTTGTATTGGCTATACTCCTTCTAGAATATTCCAAAGCCAGGTAATATTCCAGAGGCTATGCCCTGGGGAGTGAGGAGATGCAGGAGTTGAGCAGGGGCTTGAGACTCAGCCATCAGCATCAGCTTTTTCACTCCTTGCACTGTTCTCTATTGAACATCTGGATTAGCAGAGCAAATGTGCTGCATGACAGGACTGTCTTAAAGTGTAAATGAGGTCATGTGAGTGTAAGTACCAAGCAGATACTAGTTGTTCTATACGTAGTATTTGTGATGTATAATAGTGTCCATGTAAGCATCAGTAGTATCGTTGGTCTTATGTGCTGGCCCCCGTAATCCTTATTATTTCCAAGCCAATGACATCTATTATAAGGAAGCTCACAAAGCAAACTCAAGGAGAAAAAGCAGGGGAAGTGGGACCGCAGTGTCACAGGGTCCTGCTGGGACAAGTTCCCAGAATAGTGTCTGAATGTCTCAGCCTATTGTTATGGCAGCTGCTCACCTTTCCTGAGTTCCAGGAGCCACTTGAGACCAAGACCCACCCAACAAGCATGGTGCTGCTTGTTGAGGCCATGTTCCCCATAGTACCATTAAGTTTTTGCAAGGAATTGCAATTGAAGAACACAACTGATGATTCAAGTCCAGAAGGATGTTTACATTATCAAAAAGGAATCTTGAGGAGAGGTTCATGACAATTAAAATTTCCAACTGGTCCTATAAGGAAACCCTTAGAGAATAATCCCAAACTAGCGATAAAGGAGCTCCTAGGGACTGAGTGATCAAAGCCCAGACAGCTCCTCCTGTGAGGGCTTGTGGGGCCCAGGAGCCCATCGGTGCTCAAGGTGGACAGCATCACAGGGCACCTGACCACCAACAGCTAATGTGCAGCTTCACAAGTGTTGATGTGCTGACACAGCATTTCCCAAAATGTGTTCTGTGCAGTGTGCCACCCAGAAAATACTTCAACAAATACATATTTTTGTGGGCAAACCTTATGTGATGCTTTTCTTTCCGTCTGCAATTTGCTTAATACAGAGGAGCATGTTGAAAATTTTTAGATTTTCAGCAAAGGAACTGTTAGAAGTACAAACCTAGAGTTTCAAATAACTTTCAAATAATTGATAACCAACAGTATTAATGTTCTGTGGAACATACTTTGTAAAATATACACACTTTTGTGTGGAATAGTTTTTAAAATAATGAGTCTAGACTTGGCACCTGTGGCTCAAGTGGCTAAGGCGCCAGCCACATACACTTAAGGTGGCAGGTTCGAATCCAGCCTGGGCCGCCAAAACAACAATGATGGCTGCAACCAAAAAATAGCCAGGTGTCGTGGTGGGCACCTGTGGTCCCAGCTACTTGGGAGGCTAAGGCAGGAGACACACTTGAGCCCAGTAGTTGGAGGTTGCTGTGAGCTGTGATGCCACAGCACTCTACCCAGGGGGACAGCTTGAGGCTTGGTCTCAAAAATAATAATAATAATAATGAGTCTGATTGGGGAACTAGTTTTCTCAATATGCTAAAATTATCTTCAGCATTTTCCTGTGACTCCATTTTGTCGAATGCTCCCATGTCAACAAGATTGTTTTATAATGAGACTTTGGGTTACTTTAGTGTAGTTATACCCAGATATTATGATTGAAAGCTACTTATTGAAGCTGTTCCTATGATTGACAGAAGGCTACAGTAGTTAACTTTCAGCAGTCCAGAAGTGCTTTTCTTGGATATGGATTCCCTGCGTCTTTATTTGCTTTATAGCCATCTCATAAGAGATACAGTAGAGAAGGAGGCTGAAGTAGAACCCAGGGCAGGCACAGCAGGCTGGGGTAGGAAGCTCTAAAGTTAGACCATTTTCAGAATGATGAGCCGCCTTTAGCCA